GTTGGAGCCCTGGCCCCATTCCTGTGGTTTATCCTGGCCTCAGTCCTTAGATTTTACTCTCTTAGAGCTTTGTATGAATTAGTAAATACAGTTTTACTCATCAATATTGGCATGGTTGTCTTTCTTGCCTAGGGGAGAAAGGGTGGGTCTATGTGACCTTGGCTGCCCCTAGACCCTCATTAGTTAGGCTCTTCCAGGGCAACATGTATGTTCAAGTCAGAATTTTCAACACCCTCTTCCCAAAGTAAAGCCAGAGCCCTAGGAAGTTTCACTTCTATGACAATGTCTGTAACTAAACCTGATGGCGAGGAAATGCAGACAGAGCAATGCAGTGAGCATGCAGGAGTGAGCAAGCGGCATCTGTTGAATGGTGAACCCCAAGAGTTCAATTACCCCAGTTCCCTCCACAGAGGGTAACCATGGAAACCTCATAAGCCAAAGCATCATCAGTCCTCAAGCAAAACACATGCACAAGCACACGTACATGCACAATCATGCCCTGGGATGGCAGCGTGTATGTGTGCATGTGCCTATGTTTCAATTACTATGTATGTGGGGTGCGTTTGTGTGACACTTTGACAGTTTGTATGTGTGTGTATCAAATTAGCACGGGCGTCGGCTGCCACATGCTTTCCGGGTCTGCTTTCAGGGGTGGTGAACGAGCATAGGTTTGTCTTAATGTTTGGGTGCTTTGCTTGGAGCTGGGTAGGGGACGTGTTTTTCAATTTAGTACAGGGTGATGTGGAGGCCTGGTCTGGGCATATAGGAGGGTTTTAAACTTATTCTTTCTCATATCAGGTTGCTATTGCATAAAAGCGTACATGGGTTGGATTTTTCACCAGCTGGGAGGTATTATTCCCTGGGGATAGGAGAACTCAGCATGGATCATATTGAACTTTTCAAACAATCTAGCGTGGATGCAAATTCAGGCTTGAGGGTGTCATTTTTTTCAAAGCAGTGTCTTTTCAGGGTATATGCTGGTCTTTTCTTTTTTCTCTTCTAGCTGTTGCTTTAAACCTTTCCCTTTTCTAAGCTTGGGCTAGCCTGTCTATGGCATGAGAAATACAGGGATGTGAAATACAACTCACAGAAGTCTGCTAATGAAATGTGTCATTCAGTATGTGCATATCAAGAAGATTGTGTGTCATTTGGCAGATCTTTGAGGTAAGGCGGCTCCATCTGGATTAGGGATTATTTGGGGGAACAAAGCTATATGAAGACTAGGGCTTCAAACATGCATGCCTGGGGTTCTAAGTTGTGAATGGGGACTGTGCACCATGCAAAGCCTGGCCCTGTGCTTGAGGCTGCCTCGACTTAATGGGAGCTCTGTGAACACGAGTATGAGGGACTGTGTGTCTGTGTTTGTCAGCTCTGCTCTCTCCCTTCATGTAATGTATGAATGAAAGAGAATTCATTAGGGAGTATTGGGAAGAAATCCTTGTCTTTTGAATTCTTGCCTTTCATTCGCATTTACAGTTATGGTTTCTCAAATGGATAGGTCTTGTTTGTCCACCAAGAGGTATGTCGAAAGGATATTTTCTTTTCTCATTTTAAAGCAGTTGCTTCCTGGATGGTAGAAATCCATACCGGCATCACCCAGCAGGGACTCGAAACACTGTCCATGTCCTCCCTGACTCCTTGGCTGTTGACCATCCCAACCTCCATCTGCTTTCCTCATGGCCCTGCTCCCGGAAGAGAGGAATGAGGCTAAACGCTGCAAGAGATTTATGTCAGGCAGTCGCCTGAAGTTCTCCCATCTTGGGGGGGACTCACCTTTCTGCATGGGTAGAGTTAACTTTTGAGTTTGGCCAAATGATGCCAAAGCAACCCCAGGGTGGGCTGAAGGGAAGTACCCACTTGGCATTGTTCACCCCCCCCATTCCTGCTGCAGCCCAACCTCAGTCCCTCCAGGAGCTGTTGCCATTCTGGATCATCCCAACCAGAATGCCTGAAGGGGACCTTGGCTCACTGCTTCATCAAAAGCGGTTAGGGGAGGAGATCTCCTTCACCTAAGCCGTGGTAGTACAGGTGGGGCTGGGGCTCCAATGGCCCTGCTCTGGCTTCCCCACCCTTCCCGGGCCCCTTCTGGGGTGTGTCTTGAGTCTTTAAAAGCAGCAACCCTGTAGGTTGAGGTTATTTAACTGTTTCCTTGAGCCAAGGCTTGTTAAGTGCCTCCCAAATGGCAGCCACTGGGTGCAGCAATGAAGGAGGCACTAATTTTGCCCTCAGCGTGCTCATCTGTATACTGGTACCAACAACACAATGAGATAAGAAGTTAATTCGGAGCATTATGGGAGCTGATGAGAGGGCAGGGGGGCTTCTTAGAGGAACTGATACCTGACCTGCCACCTGAAGAATGGAGGCAGTTAGGGGAAAGGGAGGTGATGGACATTTTCCAGCAATGGAATGTTTTTTAAATGGAATGTATTTAGAAATGGACTGCTTCTCAGGCGAAACCTCATAGCAAATGGTATTCAGGAGAAAGAAAAAAATGAGAGCATGGGGGAGAGGGGAAGAGGAAGAGAGAAAGAAGAGGGGTGCAGAAAGAAAGTGGAGAGACAGCGGGATGGAGATGAAAGACTGAAGGGAGGAGACAGGGAGAGGGACAGAGTGAGGTTCATGGGATCGTGGATTGTTAGAGCTGGAAGGAACAGTCAGTGTTCGCAAGTCCCTCACTTAACAGATAAGGAAACTGAGGCAAAGAAAGGCATTTGCCAGAGTCTCACAGGTGTTTAGTTGGAATGCTGAGTCAGGAACCTCGATCTTCTGGCCTCTGATAGGTTTGAGAAAGGAAGAAATAGAGCGGGTTAAGGTGGGGAGAGAGAGAGAGGTCACAGATGGAGAGGAGAGAGTGAGGAAGAGGCACGGTCAGCTGAGATTCACTGGTGTCGTCACACTGTCGGGCTTACGTGAGTGAAAGCAGGGAAAGTGTACATGAAATCTGAGCGGGGTGTCTTTCTTTTCTGTCTCCTTTACCTTCCTGTTTCTCTTCCTCTCTTTCCCCTTCCAGCCACATCCTGCCTACAACTAGATGTCAGGGAACTGGTTGCCATGGCTACTAAATGGCATTCAAGCAGGCTGAATTATTAAACCAGGGTCTTTCTTTGAAGTCAGCGCCCCAGTACAAAGTCCCGTTAGGGGGCACAGTATGGGGCACAGGATTGTGCCAGGGCAGTGCAAGAGGCTCCCTTGCTGGTCTGGCTCAGACAAGAGAGTCTTTCTTGAGCACACTGAGCCCTCTTCTTAGGCTGGGTACAGTGGAGGCCCGGGAGTTGGGGGAGTGCATCTGCCAGGGTGAAGAGCTGGAGGGAGACAGCTCCTGGAGGCCCAGCTGAATCACTGACTCTGACTGCTTCCTCCCGCTTCTCTGCCTAGAGCAAAAGGTGCTGGACAATAGCCACAAGTCATTCAAATGGGATAAGACCCAAAGCCAGTACTGTTGTTATGTCTGAAAGGAGACCATATTGTTCTAATTCATTGTCATGTGTAGCCAGAGAGTCAAGAAGTAAAATGGCATGTGTGTCTTGGGCATCTGGGATTGTAACGTCTCTGCAGGTAGGTTAAGGGACTCTGTCACAGAGGACCCCCACTAGTGGGCATGTTCCTCTCCCAATCGCAGGAAAGGGCATCAAGGAGAGTCTTCTTTGCAGGCACAACTGTTGTTTGTTTTAGTGATGGAGGGGAGTGAGTGTGGCTGCTCTTCTCTTAAGGAGATTCCAAGCCAGGGAAACCATCAGCCTTCTGGTATCCTTGCTCTGTAAACTTTTTCATTATAAACAGAAACCCAAACACTGTAGTGTGACTGCTTCTGCTTAGGGGCGCTGAAGGAAGAGGGGCCTCCGTGGCTGGCAACGGCACTGTGCCTGTGTGTCAGGGTGGGTGGGGCATGAGGAGCCCCTTTTGAGGTCAATGGAGTCAGTCTCTTTCCCTCTTTAATGGATTCAACAGAATCTTCAGTGGGAAGATCTCTCCCTCTTCCTCCCCACTTTGCGTTTCTTCTCCTTTGAAAGGAGGGCTGCTGAGTCCCCAAGCCCTAGGATTCTGACCTCGCTTTGTGCAGGGCCCAAAATCTCCATAAGAGAGGCTCCCATTGCATTCTGAGGCTTGAGCTGGGAAAAATAAATTCTTAATAAGGGAAACACAATCTGTACAACTCCAAAAAATCTGTCAGTGTCTGAAAAACTGATTCATAACTGCGGTTGTTTTCCTGATGCCCGACTGGAGCAATTTTTAATGTCAGGGCTAAAGGTCTGGTTTTCTAGGTCTAATTCATAGAGACCCAACTCACTTCTTTTCAGGTTGGTGATAACTGTCGGGATTTACCTGGTCTCAGGGTGGAAGTCCTCATTTTCACAGAGTGACCCTCCCCTCCAGACCCTCTGGGGGTGAAGCCGGAGCCCTCCAAAGAGGCTGTACAGCCCTCGGTCCTCACTCCCTTTCCCACCTCTGACTAAAGGGACCTGGAGAGGAGCCGGTGGCCTTGGGCTAGTTAGAGCTCTTCAATGAACATGTCATGAATTGTGCGGGCCCCTGGCAGGTGGGGTGTGCAGAGTGCAATGCTGACAAAATAGAGTCACTGCTCTTAGCCACGCAAAGCTCACAGAATTCATTCAACTCTGGCAACCCCCAAACTAAGCCTTCAGAGGACTTGCCCCATTTGTGCCAAGGCCAAACCTGAGAAACAAAGGTGGTGGGGAGCGTGCTCTTCCCTCCCACTCTGCTTTGCCCTTTCTCTTCTTGTCCCTTCCTGTCCCAGGGCCTCCTGCTCTCTCCGGGCCGTTCTGTGCTCTGATTCTGAACTTCAGGTGGAAGGTGGGAAGCTGCTTATAGCCAGCTGACAAAGCCCCTCAGGGGACCTGCATGGGCTGAAGATACTGGTGGTGGAGACGCAAGGTTTCTAACCAGCAAGAGCTTCCGGAGGCATTTCTGCTATTCTGGAGGAAAGGTATGCAACGAGTCAGAGAAGTGGGTGTAGAGGGAGCCTTCTGAGAGACCCAGGTCTAGAAGGCCTTCGAAATGCCAGTTTGACTCAGTTTTTTGGGCTTTTTATTTTTATTTTTTGTGCTCCTTACTGCTTCCAGGGAAACAGGGTCTCCTTTAGAGCCTTCACCTGGCCCCTTGCGACCCTCAGAGAGCCTCCAGGTTCCTCCACTGACAGCCAAGATCCTCCCCGCCACGTCCGGGGCTTGTCCGTGGACAGCACTGGGCTCAGGACTGGTTCCCGTCCACCCCCCACTCGCTCCATTGGTTCCTTTAGCCCCCGGTTCGGGTCTGTTTCTCTTTAAATGCGACGGTACTCTTCCATCCCGGCCCCCTGCCCAGGCAGGCCCGCTCTGCACCCCCCGGAGGAGCCGGGGACTGGACCGGCAGGACCTTGGGAGGGGGCGCTCCTGCCCACCAACGGGAAGGGTTCTGCGTGGAAATGGTCCAAGGAAGTTGGAGGTCACTGAACTTTTCCACGGAGCTGGACCTAAGTTTCTCGCCCCCAGGCTGTTCACTCCGGAGTCGGAGGCCCCCAGCCGCCGCCCGCCCCTCCCCTTCTCGGGGCGCCCGCCCGCACCCCGAGCCCTCCCCGCGCTCCGCGCTGGTCGGCGCCGCGTGCCGCCCCTGCCTGGGCAGCGATTTCGCCCTCGGTCTGGATGCAGCTCCACCTTCCCCGCTCCTTTGTTGTTCACCCGTCTGTCCCCTGGGGGGGCATGTGTGCGAGTTCTCTTTCTGATTGTCAGAAATTTCTTTTCCGCTGTGTGGGCAGAAGACAGATTAAAAAAAAAACAAACTGTCTCCCTTCCCTTTTATTTATTTTCCGTTTCTCTCCCGTACCTCCTCCTGCCTCCCCACCCTTCTTTTTTGCGGCTGCTCCTTCCTCCTCCAATTTCACCACCGTTCCTCCCCGCTCCCTCCGTTCCCTTCCCCCCACCCTCCTGCTCTTTTAAAATAATGCAGCGACCTCTCGGCAATACTAGCACACCCTCCTCTTTCAGCTGAGCGCGGGACTCTGCATCAACTCAAGGTAAGCCCGGGTTCTCGCCGCGGAGGAAACGGTGGTGCCTGCGGGCTGCGCTGCCCGCCCTGGCGGCAGGGGCCGCGGCTCGTCCGGTGCTGCTACCTGTTGGGGGCCCCGCGGACCGCGGAGATCCCAGTTGGCCCTCACCTTCTTGGAACCGTCCTCTAAGCCGGGGGGTGCCTCCTCTCCACACGCTGCCCTTTCCTTTGCAACTTCCGTGGCAGTTTACCGGGCGTGGGAAAGCCCCTGGCCGTTCGGCGTTTTCGGGGTGAGCGTGGTGTGCCCCTTGCAGGGGCGCCTGGGGCTCGCACGCCCTTGGTGGTTGCGCGTTTGCTCGCCCGCAGCGACGGAGGCTCGGGCCACCCAGCAGAGCAGCCGGGCTCAGACGCGGAGCAGGTGCCGGCAGCAGGGTCTCAGCGAGCCTCGGGCCCTGCCGCCGCCCTTTCACCAGTGCAGGCACTGGGAAGTTTTGTGGGGAACCACCCGAGGGGAGGGCTCGCTGAGCAGGGACTGAGCTTGCAGCGAAGTTTCTGAGAAGGAGGCTGCGTGTGCCCTTGGAGGTGTCCTGGGACTGGTAGGCTGGGTGTGTCTAGAGGGAGCCGCGTGTTGGGCTGGTGGGTGAGTGGCCCCTGTCTTGGGAGAGGACTGGGAATTGGGCTGAGGGGAGGGAGCGAAGCGTGAAGAAGAAGATGAGCTACTTAGAGTGGCTAGGTTTTTGACAGGATTTGGGTCTCCCCACATGAGGATGGTGGTGGGTGTCCTGGTGCAGTGATGGAACACCCAGTCCTCTGCACCTCATTGCTTTATGCCCTCGCCTGGAGACAGTGATGGGAGACACTACCTGCCCTCTCATCCTCCCTGAGATGAAGGCTTACACTTCACCCTGCAGTTTGGCTATTAGCCCGTGGGGGGATCCTCCCCAGTTGCCGGGTCTGGGACTGTGGCCACTCAGAGCGGGTGGTTCAGGTTGAGTGGGTGGTGGGTGACTGACATCTGGGGATTTGTAGTGATTAATTCCCCCTTCCCTTTGGAGGCCATGGGTGTTGGAACATTGCTTCTTTTTCCTGGGAGCCTGGAGCTGCGCTAAGACACTGAGACATCGTGGTTAGAGGAAGGCTGGAGGAGCCAGGATGGCTTAGTCCTGCAAAAGTGTTTTCAAGAAAGAAAAGGACTTTTCTGATGTTTAAATCTTCACTGATATCAGAGCCAGAGCAAAGGGACTTTCTTTGCTGGGGTTGGGAGCAAGGGTAGACACTAGGGGAAAACTTGCGGTTGACAGTTCCAAAAGGAATTACTAATGGAAAATATCAAACTTCCTCTCCTGCAAATGTGTGGGTCTTGAAGGATTGTGTAGCCATCTCTAGAGCCTAGAAGATGACCTCTTGTTGTTTGATTCCATTTTACTGTTCTCTGATGTGCTTGGTCTCTGGCCACCTAAGATGTTTTTACCATTTTGTAGTATTGGGTAATTATGGAATTTATCATCCAAGCACAGACACTTTTGAGAGTGGACAGAGACATTAGTAATAATTAGACATGGACAACAGAGACTGTCCAGACAGATAGGGACAAATGATTGCCCCCAGAGTGACTATACGGGCAGAGGTAGGGACAGTTCACGAGGCAACATACGCTGTTTTCATGTCATTTGGATCTTGCATCTTCCTTCCTGGAATGGTTCTTTCTGACTCAGATCACATGTGGACTTTATTTCAGTTCCCTCTGAGAATCCAGCTCTGAATACAAATCTCTTTCCTTTGATGAACTCTTTTTTCCCCAACTCCATCAGTCCTTCCAAAAATCCCATCCCCAGAATGGAATTGCATGCTCCGACTGCAGGGATTACACATTAGAGGGTGATGCACATGGAGCTGTGTCTCTACCTCTGTTTGCTTCTTTGCGGTATTTGTGAGCCTTGGGCTCCCTGGAGGCCATCTGTCTGCTAGGAATGTGAGTGTTGTGTTGATGGCAGCATGATTTATGGTGACCCTTGCAGTCGTATGGCTGAGCGATTGGATCACTGCTGTCCTACCTCCTCAGCTCTCCTGAAGCTGGGGGTGGGCTGTATGTGTTTTGGTTTCAAACTGAGGAACTCATGTTTAGGAAGCATCCTACTGCCGGGAAATGCCTGGCTTTACTTCCTTGTTTGTATGAGGGAGCAGTGAGAATTCTTAGGGGATACGTCTGTCAGTCACACCTCCATCTCCCTGGAGGCCCATGGGTCCGCAACACAGCCAGGTTCCTGCAGGACTTCAAAAAGTTCATCTCCCATTTATTGAGGGCTAATTATTTTCCAGATACTATACCTAGCAGACTTGATCACAGTTAATCCTTATCCACCCTAGTAAGTTGGTATCTCCATTTTATGGGCAAGGAAACTGAAGCTCAGAAAAGTTAAAGAAACCTGCTCAAGTTTATGCAGCTAGTAGAGCTGAGATTCAAACCCAAGGTGAGCGGACTCTGTTTCTGTCCATGCAGTGGTGACTCTGTGCTAAAGTTGATGTGGTCAGTGTTTGGCTCACAGCATTTAGTCCCACCTGTTTGGGGTCCTGGCAGTAATGGACGATTCCTGAGTGGAGTGGATTAGACAGTCCACTTGTCCATTCTGCCTGGTTCTTAACTCATGTTGCTTCTGTGCTTCCTGTCAGCATTGTCCTTTCTTGGTGTCCATGAAGTTTGTGTCCCCTGCTCCCTGCCCTGCTGCCTGGACCGTCTTTGGTGGGGGTCTCTGTCCTGGATCTCACTTGAACGTACTCATGATAGTGAGGGGAGGTAGGACTGTTGCCTGTAAGGCAGAGCATGTGTTACCATCTGACTTTTAGGGTCGGTCTACTTTAGTTATTGAGGTCTGCCTCTCTCAGGGTCACAGCTGAATGAGTCTAATCTTAAAGACTGACCATGGCCTAGACTTGGAGAGAGCCTCCCCACCCCTTGGTTTGCCCAGAAATAATTCTGTAGATTATCCAGGAAGCTTGAACATACCAAGCTGACAGTGTCTTGACAGTCTCTCAGATCCTTCATCTATCATGTAGGCAAAAATAGAGCCTTAAGTAGATAATTCTAGACATTGTTTCCACCTATTTATTGTTCCTATTTACCCTGTAGCTGTGTAATCAGCCAGACCAAGAACATGCCTGTAAGGAAAGGGGGTATTATCAGGCAGGGCATGGGCAGCTGAAAGTGCTTTGGTCTGGGAGATGTAACCTCTAACCCAGTCTCAGCACCATTAAATAGCCAAATGACCTTGTACCAGTCACTGGGCCTCATTTACTTTGCTTGGAAATAAAGGTTGGGCAGATGCCCTCCAGGTATTTCCCAGATCCCTTGTCTGAGAGCCCACAGTTTCAGAGCCACGCCTCTCTTCCTGTCTCCCAGTGGAGGGTAGGGGTGGACAGATGGCTGACTGGGTAGGAGTCAGATGGGGGCCATGAAGGAGGCATCCTGGGAGGAGCTGTGACTGCCCTTGGTCTCCTGTGGGCAGGCGTCAGCCCCATTCTGGTATGGAAAAATGGGGCGCTTTATCTGGCCAGGGGAGAGCCTCTCCTGCTGCCTGCCTTGTGTTACCTGGCATCCCCAAGAAGTTCTGTCACTTTGTGTCCCTGATAAGTGGCAAGGATTAGGGAGAACAGGAAGTACAACAGTCTGTTAACCCACATCTATAATATACACTGAATGAGGAGCTAAGAACTAGCAGGGGTGTGTGTTTGTGTGTATGTATGTGGGGGGGTTTGGAGGTAGGACAGTGGGAGAAGGTGATCTACAAAAAGTAAGAAAGGAGACACTGCCTTTGGTCTCATGGCACTTACAGTGTGGTGAGGAGCCTAAATCTAGTCAGTTGGACGAAGTATACATGTGACAAGCTATACAGCCCTTTGGAACCAAAAGCCCATTACCAAACCATCTGTGATAGTACAGAGCTGGGCATGTGCAAATCCAGGACATTCCTGGTGGAAGCAAAGATGTGTGATGCCTTTCTCAGTGTTACCTGGAAAACTTGTATAGGGGTGTCCTCTTTATCTCAGACATGAGGATTCTCGAGGGTTCTGTTGTCTGCTGTACATGTGTGGGCTCGGAGGAATCGTAAGGAATGAGATTCTTGAATAGAATTGGGTTTTACCAAAGAAAAGGCCTTCCCATTTATGCTCATGCAGCATTATTTGGAAAGAGACATCTTCTGGAATCACAGATGATATAATCACACTGATCTCACTTGAAAGCAAATTTTTCCCCCCTCTAAATGCTAGCCTGGGATTAGGGTAAAGAGAGAATGCCTCAGAGTCTCAATATATGGTTTGTGGTGGCAGTGGCAGCTGAATGGGCTTGGGGGAGGGCGCAGAGCTGGGGAGCACCAGCAGGAAGGCACGAGGCTGTCTTGTGTACAGTTCAGACACTGCCACCTATGGCGCAGCAGAACATCCGTCTCTGTGGGCGTCAGTAGGATGTTTCACCTGGGTAATAAAATCCAGGGCTGTGATGATGGACACACCTCAGAACGGTGGAAATATCCGTGTAGTTGCAAACATACACCTTGAGGTCACAGTAACTCCCTGTGTGCTGTGCTGTAGAGGGGAACTGGGTTTATGCCTCTCTTACATATCTTTTGGGGTTCTCCCCCTTTCTCACAAACAAATGTGTACTCAAACCTTTTGCTAGGAGGAACAGGAAAATAAAGAAGAAAATGACATGGTTCTTTCTCTCAAATAATTGGTTTCTCATTCTAAGTACAGTGCCTTGAGGAAGTCTCTATTTCTTTTACCAAATTATGTGTTATCTGGCCGTGGCATAGTGGTTCTAGTCTTGCTCCAGTCCTTACAGGCTGTAGACCATGGGCAAATCACTTAAGCCCTGGGCCTCAGCTACATTACCAACGCACAGGCTTGGTACCCCAGCTTTCAGAGAAAGGGCCTGGAAGCAGTGGTCGCTGGGGGCCCCTTCCAATTTTTAGAGCAATGGCTGTTCTATGGTTTCATCTTTCAACCCTTCTCTCTCCTCTCTTTACCCTTTGTTTCTCCCTCTCACCTTGTCATACAATAGAACTTTTTTTGTTTGCTGTATTTACTGAATAAGAATTGTATTCTTTGCTCTTAATTTAAAAAGTGCTGAAGAACATTTTTTTGCCTCTTAAAAGAAAGTAAATGGAATCTCTCTTGACTTATTTGGTCCTTGGTTGATGTTTTCTTGAGTGTCATGATCCTGAATACAAAGTTCCATGCCTTCTTTAGCAAAGGGATTTGTAATGACAGGTGAACACACCCCCAATTCCCTGCTTCTCTTTATGTTGGATCTCAGGCTCGTGGTTAGTGAGCTGCTCAGCACTGAAGCCCGAGAGTCCTGGGTGCATCTGCCTCTGCGCTCAGGAAGGAAAAGTCAGCCTGCCAATCTCAGAACCTGGTCGCTGGTCCAGAAACGACCCCACAGTGGGTGGAGGGGAAGGAGCCCGGGCTGGGTTGGAAGCCCCAGAAGTGAGTCTCAGCCCGTGTCAGTGGAAAAACCAGTCTCTCTGTGCCTCCCCTACCGCTCCTTCCTCCTCTCCCACCCCGTCTCCTTACACTTCTCTCTGCAAAGGTATCCTGACTGTCTGTTCTGGGTAAGGCACTGGGTGAAGTACTGGATACTGGGAATACAGCAGTACATGAGGCAGACAAATGTCCTACTTCTGTGGAATTTATATTCCAGTGCAGGAAGAGGGAGACAATAAATAGACAAGTAAACTTGTAAAAAAAAGAAAACGATAAATGTCACTCAGAAAATTAATCTAGGGTGACAGGGCATTGATTGTGTAGCTCTTTAGACTGACATATCAGGGAAGGCTTCTGAGGAGGTAATATTTAAGGTGAAGATCAGAAGGGCAAAAAATGAAATAGGACCCCTATCCCCATTTCTCTATGGCCATTGTGAGGCCTAAGCACAATTGTACCAGAAAGTGTTTTTTGTAGACTTTATCTCATTAGGCAAAATTGCTTGAGGGCAAGTATTGTGATTAATTAATCTTTGCAATCTTAGTACTTAGCATGGTAGTAAATGTGGGTTGAAAAAAGTAATATGTTTGGAGTTCAGAGGGGATTTTTAAGAAATAAATTAAGATGGTGCCTGTGATAGGCCTTTGTTAAAAGGAATAATGTCCCTTGCGCTCTTACCATTCCAGGGCTTTGCTGGAGATTTCCGTACTGACGCCCTGGGGGAGCAGAGAGGGTTCTCTGAGGGACAAAGACAGGTGGCCAACACTGAGGGAGTAGACTTCCTGAGGGAATTCCTTATTGCTTTTCTTGCTTTACAAAGTCTCCTTAGCCCTGAGCAGAGACTAACTTAATCTGAAATTGAGAGGCGATGCCACAGGCTCCCTCTCACCCTCCATATCTGGGATGAAGGTTTCCCTTTCCACAGTTGCCCTCCTCCAGCCCTGCCCGTCTCTCCTCCCCAGGGCCTGGCTTATCAGGTGCCCAGGAGACCTCAGTCCATTGTGCTGACTGTTGGCTGTGACTTTGCCGACCTGCCCACCCTCTGCTACCCTCCCTGAGGGCTGAGTCAATGCGGCCCACCTACTTCATCTAGTGAGTCACAGCTTTTCAAACACGGAGGTGTGAATCACTCAACTTGTAGCCCTTGAGATGTCTTGGGTGACAGCTGAGGAAGAAGGCTTCGTGCCTGTCCTTGTCCCTCATCTTCCCATTGCTTTACCATTCTCCCTGCCCTTAGAACGTAGAGCGCTAAACCCACAGCCCCTCTCTAGGGCCAGAGAACAGTTTTGGGGGTACATGGAGTGGGTATGCAGTCACGTGGTAGGGGTCGTTCAGGGAGAACGTCCTGTCCCAAAGTGTGGTTTGTGAACGAGCAGCTCTGGCATCGTCGTGGGAATCCTGAGCCAGACTCCGGGTTGGGGCCGGACCCTCCGGCTGGGGCTGGTGCACAGTCAGGTTTGAACCACTGTAGAGACATAGATGCAGGTATCTTACTCCTCTTTGAAATACAGGATTTGTTTCTCCTGTTTGATGGAGCAAGCAAAGGTCTCCTGAATCCAAGATCACAGTAAGTGGGAGAGCCTGGATTTAACTTAGTCTTGACTCCAAAGCCAGAATTGCTATGAGCTTTAGGCCCGTAATTAAAATGCAGATATTTCTGGAGACATGTTACTAACCATTAATGCCTTAGTGCTAATTGCTTTCTTGACCATTTCCTGTAGGCTTCTGAAAAGAGGGCTGGAGCAACCCAGATTGCTGGTAACTCCCGGGTGCTTTTACTGCGCGGTCCTTTCTCTTCAGGTAGCTGTGGCTGAGTTCCTCCTCCATAATGGAACTGAGGGACTGATCTTTAAATGTTGGTGATTCCTGGCCCCAAACCTGGCCCTTTTCAATGCCTCTGCTGCATACTCTTCCAGAGGGACCTCATGCTTCAGCCATCACCCATCTGCTGATGACTTCCAAATGTGTTTTCCAAGCTAGGATTCTCTTTTAAGTTTCAGAATTTCTCTCCAGCTGGCTGCTGGACATTTCTATTTCAGCATTGTATATCTGAAACTTAACTTATTCCCAAATGACCCCATCATCATTTACCATAGCTTGTCCTCTGCTTGTGTCCCGTTTGCTGTCATTCTGTTGCCTAAAGCAAGTCACAGGGCCAAGCTCATATTTAGCATGGGAAGGTCCCTCAAGAAGCAGACACCAAGATGGGATTACATGTGCTAGGGTTTTATTAGGGGAAATACCTATGAAGGGTGGTGGGGAGGGAGCCAGGAAAGGCTGGAGGAGCTACCAGAATACCATGCAAATCTCACCCTGAGATAGACAGAGGGAAGGGAGGTTGGGTGCAAGGGTCCCCGCTCACTGTGCAATCTGTGGACACTCAGCAAGGCTGTCCGGAAGGCCCTGAATCAAAGTTGGCATCAGAGCCATCCCATGACTCCCAGAGTGGGCCTGCCTTAGTGTCCCTGGCCTGCTCCCTTTGTGCAAATACAGTAATGAATGGGGTGGGGCTCTTGGTCAGTTAAGCGCCTTGTAGTTAGTTGTCTGCTAGTCACATTCTCATAGCCATACAGGACTATTAGTCAAACAATTTTTCACAAATCACAAATTTCTATTTCCAGCCCAGATGGCTCTCTTAAGCTCCAGAACTCTGTATCCAATAGTTTTCTTTATGTGTCCGCTTGGCTGTCTAGAGGCATCTTAAACTTAGTATGTTTAGAGTGAACTCTTGCTCTCTACCCCCAAATCTGCTTCTCCTCCAGCGTTCTTTGCCTTGGTGAATGGTGCCTTCATTCACCCAGCTGTCCAGCAGTCAGTGTTGAACTTGTACCTCTTTGTGCCCTTAGGCAAATCCATTATGAAGTCCTGTCACTCTAGCAGCCTCAATACTTCTCGATCCTGTCCTCTTCTCCACCGTTACTGCCAACCCTAAACCAAGCCACCATCATCTCTTACTTAGATGATGATGGCACCCTCCTAACTGATCTCTCTACTTCTTCTCTGGTCCCTGTCCCAGCTCCATGCTGCATGGTCCACTGGGAACTTCAATGGTCTTGAAGAATGAAGATGATTGTGTCACTTCTCAGCTTGAAATCCAAGATCTTACCCATGGCCTATGTGCCCTGTATGTTCTAGCCCCCCTACTCTCTCCAGCTTCAACTCCTATATCTCTCTCCTTTCCCTATTACCCTAGAGCCACACTGGACCCCTTTAGAATGTGCCAAGCTCTTTCTTCCCACAGGGCCTTTGCATATGCTGTTCCCTGTCTCTGTAAGTCTCCCATCCTCTAATTCCCTGTTTACCTAGATAATGCCTATTTATCATCATTCAGTTAGTTCCCTATGTAATGTCATTTCTTCAGAGAGACCTTCCCAGCCAACTATTGTTCCCCACAGCCCATCTAATTCAGGCCGTTTCTTTGTGCTCTCTTACAGCATCCCACACTTCTGTAGAATGCACTCCATTTATGTATGCATATTTGATATGTGTCCCCCAGGCAGGAAATTTCCTGAGGATTGTTCACTGCTGTGTCCATTGCTGTTTCCCAGAGCTCAGCACAGCTCTGACACATAGCATGCTGCCTCCATCTTCCTCTGGCTTTTGCCTATCACCTCCTCCTGGCCCTCTCTCTTCCCCTCTTCTCTGCCTCCAAGTTTATTATCGTTGAAACCAAAGTTGGAAACATCAAAACACGTGTCAGTCATCTTGATGAGGCTGGCTACCTGGGAGTAGTCACAGAGGAGTCTCTGGTCAGACTCAGCCTGAGCCCTGTCCTCAACTTCTGCCATGCTTTGTCCCCTCTGGAGTGGGAGTAGGGCTTGCTGGCATCCTAGAATTGTTGAAATTCTGTTGCCAGAACAGAAAGCTGCTCAGGTCTTGTGACAGGGTTTCCTTGTGGATGGGTGTGTCCAAAGGGGTGTGAGCAATAACCAAGCACATGGGCACTCAGTTCTGTATAGAGGACTTAGAGCACCAACCTGGGATCAGGCAGCTTTCCAACAGGGTCCCGGATCTTCCATTCTTTCCTAAGTGGCCCTGCACAGGTGATATATTTTCTCTGAATCTCCGGCTCCTTAAAGGTATGTAGGAGTAGTACCTCCCTCACAGGATTTGTGTGAAGTCTGGATCTCTATAAATAATTAACAAGTAGCTAGGGATGATGGAGACTTATTTAGGATCAGGGGGTGGTGCTGCGCTTTCAGGGGAGGGGAGAGAAGGCAGAATGGCTGTAAGGTCTGGCTGGGCACTGCCATAGTGCCTCTGGCCCACCCTCTTAATTGGCCACCTACAGTATCTCAGAGCCTTGAGCCCAGTAGGCATCCAGTAAATGCAGACAAAATGAGCATATAAAATACTTGAGGGAGGCAGCCTGTAGATTTCCTCGCATCCCACGTCCTTTTAGCTGTGGCTTTGGTGGGGATGTGAAGTTGTGAGGGTTTTGGGGGGGTGCCGATTTGTAGAGACCATTCAAAACATGAAGACAAACACGATCCAATTAAAAAGTACAGATTGTACCTCATTTTATTGCCTTACTCTGCGTAAAGTTTTCACAGCAAAATTCTCAGAGCCCAAATATGAAGTGCCAATGAAATAATTTGCTTTGTAAACCATCGGGCTTGTAAAATATGTATAATGTCAGCTGTTATGTGGGGAATAGCTCCTGATAGATTTGCCATTTTGTTCTGCCTATAAAGGTAGAGGACGTCTGGTTTGCATTGCTGTTAGCCTTTCATTGAAGAATTTTAATTCTTGTTTTTATTGATCCTGAAACAGTCTTCTGTTCTGGGGAGTAGGATGACCTTGAAGGAGCCCTAACAGATGGAATTATACCCCAGACCCCACTCCAAATCTAATACATCAAAAAGTGGTTAAACCTCTAGTACAGTGATTCTTAACCCTTGGAGTCATGGACTCCTGTGAAAATTTGACATAGGCTGTGGATTCGACCTGGTAAAATGACATTCCAAATATTCATAGGATGTCAGGGGACCACAGAGCCTCATGAAGCCCATCCTCCTTGGAGCCTGAGTGTGGATCACACCAGACTGAGCTTATTCTCATCATTGTGAGTCAGCCATGAGAGGACTGGGCAGAACTCCAAGCACAGGGCTGCTGGGTGGAGACGCAGGTCTGGGGCTTGGCCTCATGGGAGTGGCTGGAGTGCAGGGACCTTTCTATCCTCAGCATGCAAACTGGCCCTCTCTGAGGATGCTTCTGGCACCTCACAGGGACAGGGGCTACCTTCTTCTGTGGGCCTGAACACCATCCAAAAGGCTGGTTGTGGGCCAGTGCCACCTGCAGGAAGCAAGTCATTGCCTCACAGCAGAGTGTGGCCTGCAAGGTTATGCCATCATTCCCCAGCCCCTTCCAATAGGAACGCTGTTAAAGTCTGTGGAAGGGGCTTGCCCACAGGCCTGGGCCTCTGCTCGCGTTACTCCCATCCTCAAATGCCCTGCTCTCTCCTCTCTGCACATCTTCCAGGGTCTCAGCCCTCCCAGCCCACCTTCACTGCTTCTCTGCACTGGAGTAGCATTATGGCCCTCCCGTCGTCTGTGCCACACACCCCTGGACTCCTGGTCTTTTTTGGTTAACTTTACAGCTGTAGGACTTGACTGTGCCATCAGAGGATTCTGAAGGGTAGAGGCTCCACCTGCCTGGCTCCCTAGAGACTCAGAGTGGGAAGTTTAAGAAGAAACCAAGTACGTGATTTAGGAGAGCAGCCAGGAGAAGCATGACGCTCCAGTGGAAGTTGCAAGGACTGAGAAGGGAAGTCTGGGGGAGGACCATGTTTTTAAAACCCATCTTCCTCTTCTAGAAATCACTCTGTTTCTCTTCTCAATTCCTTGCAGTACCGTTCCTCCAAAGAGTGGCTTGTTGGGTCCAAATTCATTATTCATATTATAAGGAATCCCCAAGTACCCACCACCCAGATTCAAGAATCAACTCACGACCAATGGTTTTTTCACCTAAATCTCCTACTCTACCTTCCCACTGGATGTTTTTGAAGCAAATTCCTGTCATCGTGTAATTCTATCCATAAATATCTAAGTACTAGTCTCTAAAAAATAATGGATTAGAAAAATAGCCACAGTAACATTATCTCACTCCTCCAAATTAACAATAATTTCTTAATACCTTCAAATGCCTAGTTGGCCTTCATATTTTCCCGATCTTACCTTAACATTTTTTTCTTTAGCAATTGGTTTGTTGGAATCTGAATGTGCATAAGGTCCACCCATTATATTTGATTGAAAGGTTTCTTGAATCATAATCCGTAGGTCCCTTGCCCTTCTTTGTTTTTGGCTTTATAGTTAATTTGTTGAAGAAACTTGGCCATTTTTTTTGTAGATTTTCCCATATTCTGGATTATGCTGATTGTATCCCCATTGAACTGATTGTTTTTGTTCCCTGAATTTCCTATAAACTGGTACTTAATTCCATCTGATTCAGATTTGATTTTTTATTATTTTGTAAGTACACTTTCTTCCTAGGATATGTACTTCCATCAGAGGCACATAATGTCTGGTTGTTTATCTTTTTGTGACATTAGCAGCCACTGAGGATCATTGCCTAGGTCAGAGTTAGCAGACTTTCTCTGCAGAGGGCCAGGCAGTAAGTATTTTAGTTTGTGGGCCAGGTGGTTTCTATCCCAATTATTCCACACTGGCTTTGTAGTGCAGATGCAGTCATGGCTAATACATAAATGGATGGGCATGGATGAATTCCAGTAAAACTTTATTTACAAAAAGCAAGCAGGCCAGATATAGCCTAAAAGACATAGTTTACTGACCCTTCTCTGGGTTGTTGGTTTCATGAGGGGCTTGCAAAATGCTGACATCATTACTTCTTCATTCATCAGTTGGAGTAACTTACAAAGAGAGACTTCCCTGTGGAGCTTGGCTCCCTCTATATTTTTGAACCCTGTTTAATGAGGCACCCCTTTGCCCCACTCCACCAAAAATTGTTGCTTCTAAGATCATTGTGACTGTCCTGTTGATGAATCTAGTGGTCAGTTTTCATGTGTCATCTTGAGATCTTTGATCTTTACAGCATTTGACATAGCTGATCACTGCCTCCTCCTTGAAAAGCTTCACCGGCGTTCATGACACCTGACCTCTGTCCTGCTGCTCCTCCTTCACCACTGGTACCTCCTTCTCAGTGGCTTTGTTAATCTTTTCCTCATCAACCAGACTGTGAGTGTTGGATACCCTACACTCAGTCCTTAGACCTCTTCTTTATCTACAGTCACTTATCCATGGCCCTTTTATTTATTTATTATTATTTTTTAGGAGAGCCAGGGAGACTTTTATTGAGAGATACAGTGAGAGGACAGACAGAGCTCCCAGCTCACGCCAGGAGGGTACAAGAGAGCCCTCCATGGCCTTTATGCAGCTGGCTTCTATATATATAGATAGAATGCTAAACACGTACATGTTTATTACATAAAAATTTAAAACACTAAATATATCATTCTAGCCTGGCTTTCCCCCTCAACACTGCATGTGTCTTATTTCAGTTGCCCATGAAACATTTCCACGTGGATATCAAAGAGGCAAACCTTACATGTCCAAATATGAATTCTTGATATTCGCCATAAAACCTTCTCTTTCTTCAGTTTTCCCTAACTCAGTTAATGACAACTCCACCCTTCCAGTAGCTTTGGCCAAAATATCTGAGTGTCATCTTCGACACCTCTCTTTCTTTCACTCCCCACATCCAATCTGTCAGCAAATCCCCTCGGCTCTGTCTTCGAGTATATCCACTTCTCACCACCTCCACTGCTACCAACCTGGTTCAGGCTACTGTAAGCCCTTTCCAGGATTGTTGCAGCAGCCTACTGCTAACCGAAGCAGGTGGTCATGCTTCCCTGCATGGAGTGTATTCTCAGCTGGGCAGGGGCCTCTTAAAACTGTCAGTGGAGATATCCCACTCTTCTGCTCAAAACCCCTGAAGGGCTAGAAGCCAGAATCCTGAAAATGGCCGACAGAGTCCTACAGGGTCTGAAAAATACCATTATCCCTCTGATCTCATGTCCTGTAACTCATCCCATGTCTCTCTCTGCTCCAGTCAATGGGTTCCTTGCTGTACCTACTATGCTAGGTACTCTCTCTGTGCCCGCTCTTAGCCCTTGCTCTTCCTCTGCCCAAGGTGCTCTTCTGCAGGTATTTGCGTGGCTTGTCCTTCACCACCTTCCGGTCTTTGCTCAAATGTGACCTTATCAGTGAGGCCTACCCTGACTGTGTCATTACTCCCCCCACCCCTGCACTTCAGGGAAGAAGCACTCTCCATCAAAGAGAAGCTGTCTGTCTTTTTTCTGAGACCTTTAAGGAAGCTGATGGGCCAAGACCATGCGGGAACCTCTCCCTCCCCTCCTGTTCCTCAGCCCTGACTCGGCCCTGCAGCGGCAGTCTGGACGGCACAGGGAGCTCCAAAACCAAAGGGGATGCCTGTCTTTCCCGCTCTCCATGTGCAACACCCCCAGACACCCCAGAAGGGGACTTCTTTTCCCTTTCCTTAAAAAATAAGCTCCCAGACTCCTCTGCACTGTTGAGCTAGCTGTGGTGTCCCAGAGTGGAGGGGGGGGTGCCAGGGGTGCCCTCTTTGGATGCACAGCTTTGGGGGATTCAAGTTCTTCATCACTCCTGAATCCTGCTTCAATGTCTCACTCCAAGGCCTGGAGCCTGGAGCTGGCACTGGCCCCAAAGAGGCTGTGGTGGCCTCCTCTTTGGGCCTTTGTGCCCTTCTGTCATCCAGGGGGATTGTGCCTTGGGTCCTCTCCACTCATCTG